GGGGGGGGACTTACTCTATCTGATCCTGTAAATTCTATGCTTGCAGAAGCCATCACTACCTCTATCATCCAATATCTGTTCCTCAGATTTATGGAAACTTGTCTCCCAGCACTGTAGTTATCTCAGGTGTGTGTCCGTGAGAGAGAGAGAGAGAGACTTGCTCTATCTGACCCTGTAAATTCCATGCTTGCAGAAGCCATCACTACCTCCATCATCCAATATCTGTTCCTCAGATTTACGGAAACTTGTCTCCCAGCACTGTAGTTATTGGTAGCCATGTATTGACATTTGAGTATTGGTTAGATATTTTGTCATGTAAGATGCTTGTCATATACCTGAGATAATTCCTTGTAATATGAAAAGAGTAGTCCATTAGATCTGTATATTAATATCTCACTTTATAAGAAGTCCAACTTGCTGCTCTAGCAATATGACTCGTTATGCACCTGTAGTATCATTAGCATAGCACAATATATGCGCAAGTATTTGTTCTAATGGCACCTTACCCTCTCAAAAAAGAAAACAATGTGTTAGTACTAATGGCTATACTAAGTTCTTTACCTTACACAGGTTGCGGGGTCAAAGATACAGAACTATGATCTGGAAGTATCATCCTTAAAGCTTGAAATTAAGGAATTAGGTGAAAGGTTAGAGAACATCAATGCTACTGCACAATCATTTGAAAGAGAAGCTAGGATTCTGGAACAGGAGAAAGTCCATCTGGAGCAAAAGTATCGGTCTGAGTTCAGTAGATTTGAAGATGTCCAGGATAGATGTAAATCAGCTGAAAGAGAGGCAAAAAGAGCAACTGAGCTGGCTGATAAAGCAAGGGTCGAAGCAGCTACTTCCCAGAAAGAGAAGAGTGAAATCCATCGAGTAGCTATGGAAAGATTGGCTCAGATTGAGAGGCACGAGAGAAGTATAGAAAACTTGCAGAGGCAAAAAGATGAATTGGCTAATGAAGTAGAGAAGCTTCATGCATCTGAGTTCGATGCGCAGTCAAAAGTTGCAATACTGGAGGCCAGAGTTGAAGAAAGGGAAAAGGAAATTGAGTCACTTCTGAAATCAAATAATGAACAGAGAGCCAGTACTGTGCAAGTCCTTGAGAGTCTGTTGGAGACTGAGCGTGCTGCACGTGCTGAGGCAACCAATAGGGCAGAAGCACTATCTGTTCAGTTGCAAGCTACACAAGGAAAGCTGGACCTTCTTCAGCAACAGTTAACTGCAGTTCGGCTGAATGAAACAGCATTAGATAGCAAACTTAGAACTGCTTCCCATGGAAAACGTGCCAGGATAGATGAATACGAAGCCGGTGTCGAATCTGTTCATGATATGGGCACAAATGATAGACTAGCCAGGGGAAATAAGAGATCAAAGAGTACGACCAGCCCCCTGAAATTCACTGGTCCAGAAGATGGGGGTTCCGTGTTTAGGGGAGATGATGATACTAGTAGTCAACAAACAAATACTGAGGATTATACTAAATACACGGTGCAGAAACTGAAGCAAGAGCTTACGAAGCATAATTTTGGGGCTGAACTGCTCCAATTGAAGAATCCGAACAAGAAGGACATTCTAGCGTTATACGAAAAATGTGTTCTCCAGAAATCATAGCTTCCAAGCTGCTTTGTAGAAAGGTTTTAAGTAACACGGATTGTGCGACAAAAATTTGACAAGGCGATCTCGGACGTCTTACAAGATTTTAAATGGAGAGCTTTGTTCCACATTATGACAGATGCTTGGTATATCTGCTGCTGCTGCTGACTTAACCGTTGGTGTAACTTAATGTATTCTATCTGGAGTGTTGTCTACTGTTGTATTAGACATGTTTTTTGTTCGTTGGTAGGCTGTTTTAGGAAGATTACTTAGTGAGCTGCTGCGAGTCAGAGTTGAAATTAGTGGATTGAAGAGACTACTAGTATGCGTAATGACCCTCGTTTTAGGAATGACTCTAGGTTTTAAGTTTGTTTTATTCGTCTTCTTTCTATGTTTTCTATGCAGATGGTTAGTGGTTGGTAATTGGTAGGATGACGTTACGTAAATCCTAGTTCCCAGGACAGGCATGTGGTGTAAGAATTCCTGCTCAGTTAGTTGATTTCCTTTTTTCCTTTCTAACTCCGTTTCCTGTAAACTATTGTTGATGCTGTAAACTGAAAAGATCGAATTGTTTAATTTTTCTTGATTTAGTATTTTGTTGTCATATGATAGTTAGAGAGGTTTTAGCAGCTCTGCTAGGGCCTAACAGCTTCTTCAGGTTTTTGCTTTCCGTTTTCACTTTTGCAATTATCAAATACCTATGTTTGGTTTAAGTGATGACAAAATGGTTAAAAGAAAATAGTTATCCATCCATATTATTCATTAAAAAATGGGTTGGATAATGAACTTTTTAAAAATAGGTCAAATATGGACAAGAAGTTAAGAATCATATTATCCATTTAGAAAACGGAAAAGGCCTAAAAATGCCATTCAACTTTCAGAAATGGTCTATCCATGTCATCCGTTAAAAAATTGTTATTTTCATGCCACTGCCGTTACAGAAATGACCCATCTATGCCATTATTTGACTAACTGTTGGAATTTTTTTTTAAAAATATTTATAAAACTTGAATTTTCACGTGTCCTGTCATTATTGGTCCGAATTAACACATGCCTCACTTAATTCTAACCTTGGTTAGGTCCATCTACACAAACCCAACCCGGTTAAAACAAAACCAAATCTCGTTCACTCTCCAGTCGTCTTCCCCAAATTAGCAACCCTAAAACCTCCATTAAATCCAATTTCTCCATTATCATTCTGAAATTGAGCTAGGGTTACAATTTCACCAGAGAGCTTAGAAGATCCGTATTTTGAGTGGATCCATTGGCCCCAAGCATATATTCCATTCACAGACAATGAACTTGAGTACATACAAAAACTTGATCCTATTCGGGACACTGAGATGCTACGAAGTGAGCTCCCTATGATTCGTGAAGCTTCCCTTCGTGTCTTGGCCCTTTCCACCATTTTTCTCAAGGAAGCTGCTGCTTATGGTCTCGCCTTGCTGAAATGGTGAGATGATGAGCAGGGAATTCCGTAGTGGGGAGGAGGAACCAAGTGAGCTTGAAGTTGTTTGCTCGGAGGCAAGAAGGTTGATTGCAGGAGGAACCAAGTGAGCTTGAAGTTGTTTGCTCGGAGGCAAGAAGGTTGATTGCTCAGAGGGAGTATCTTTCTCCCAAGCCTGAAGTGGACGAGGAGTTTCAATTTGACATAGACTGCGAAGATGCTGGATATGATTATAGTCCCAAATTGATTTCTCAGGACTTCATGAACCGAAACCCATTTCATTTTCCAATTGGAGGAAATGGTTGCTTCCCACTCTCTAAACTAGATGAAAGGATTTAATGGAGCTAGGGTTATAATTTCAGAAAGATAATGAAGAAATTGGATTTAATGGAGGTTTTAGAGGTGCTGATTTGGGGAAGACGACTGATGATTGAAGGGGATTTGGTTTTGTTTTAACTGGGTTGGGTTTAGGGAGATGGACCTAACCAAGGTTAGAATTAAGTGGGACATGGGTTAATTCGGACCAATAATGACAGGACACGTGGAAATTCAAGTCTTATAAATATTTTAAAAAAGATTCCAGCCGTTAGTCAAATAATGGCATAGATGAGCCATTTCTGTAACGACAGTGTCATGGAAATAGCAATTTTTAACGGATGGTATGGATAAACCATTTCTGAAAGTTGAGTGGCATTTTTAGGTATTTTCCGTTTAGAAAATGGATAACCAATGGATAACTAATGACTTTAACTTTTACATTTGTAATGCCCAAAATTAGAGGTTTCTCTCAAGTTTGAGAGATTAGGAATTCTCCCAAAAGTGATCATATTCAATACAATGAATAATATGGATATCTATATTATTCGCCGGTTAACACGTTTTTTTATTCGTATTAAAACGTATTAATCCATATCCGTATTAATAAGATTCAAATAACGTATCCCATAATCATCCCATCCCATAATTAATCCCTACAAATTCTCCATTTTGTTAAATCTACATTATCACTATAAACCCATTAGATTATTACTATTTCAATTTTCATCTTGGTCTCTAAAAATTCTCCATCTCCTTTTTTTATTTATATTATCCTTCAACACATTCTCAACAAACAATTTATTATTTATCAATTTCTCCTTCTACAGTAAGAGAAATATTCTTCAAATGGAACTACAAAAAAAGAAGAAGATATATATCATTATTAACATATAACATGTAATATATAATATAAAAAATTCAACGCGAACTAATGTAATATTATACAATAAAGGTGATGTTTTTATATATTATATATCAATTTCATAAAAGTTTATAGGTATACTATATTTATTAGTAGTACACATCAGATAAACTAAAGTGATATTATACAATGATGGTATGCTGTATTATATACTATACCAATATCATATAAGTTTATTATATATATAATATATTGTATACTATATTTATTAGTGTAACGACCCGGCCGGTCATTTCATGAGATACAACTTTATTTTCCCCGTTTATGCTTTTTTCTATGTTCTTTAGTTGTGTTTTATTGTATCGTGTGGGTTGATTCGGGTCCGGAGTGGTTTTGGAGTGGAATGAGGCACTTAGCCTCCTATTTAGAAGCTTAAGTTGGAAAAGTCAACTGGATGTTGACTTATATGTAGACGACCTCGGAATGAAATTCCGGAAGTTGCAGTAGGTTCGTAAAGTCATTTGTGACTTGTGTGCAAAATTTGAGAATATTCGGACAAGGTTTGATTAGTTTCAGAGTCATTTGTGGAATTTGGAGACTTAGAGTCCTTAGGCTTGAATCCGAGTGTGATTTAGTGTGCTGACATTGTTTTGAGAGATTCGAGGGTTCGACTAAGTTTGAATGATGTTATGGGATGTATTGGTATGTTTGGTTGAGGTCCCGAGGGCCTCGGGTGTGTTTCGAGTAGTTATCAGATCAGTATAGTTGTTGAAAACAATTGTTGGTGTTGCTGGTGTTCAGAGGTTGGTCTCTGAAGTTGGGAGCGCGGACCGCGGCAGAATCTCGTGGTCAGCGGAGGAAGTTCGCAGTGGCGACAGTATTTCTGCGATCAGCGGCGAAGGCTGGCACGAACAACGGAAGAAGGGACGCGACCGAAGGAACTGGAGGCATTCCCGGCCGCGGTGAAGATTCCGCGGACAACGGAGCGGGGAGCACGATGTCGGTGGGTTTTTGGCGGTCAGCGAGATTTGAATTCGAGGGGTGCACTATAAGTACGAGATTCAGGGTTTTATTTTCATATTTTGACTTAGAGAGCTTGGGCTTTGGCGATTTTTCGAAGTTTTTTCAAGAAATTCATCGGAGTAAGTATTCTAACTCGGTTTAGGCTTAAATACATGAATATATCATGGAATCCATCATTTGATTAGAGATTTGGGATGGAAATTGGGGAAAATTTATAGAACTTCATAAAATGAACTTTTGAGATTTGAAAGCACGATTCAAAGTCGAAATTGAGTGAAACTAGTATGGTTAGTCTCGTAATCGAGTGGGTTGTTAGATTTTGTGACTTTGGTCCGATTTCGAGACATGGTCCTGGGGCCCATCTTTTGAGTTCTCTTTGACTTTTGGTCTTAAGCTTAGCATTTCATTATGAGATTGATTCCTTTAGCTCATGTTGATTGTATCGAATTGTTTATGGCTAGATTCGGAGCGTCTGAAGGTTGATTTGAGGGGCAAAGGCATCACGAAGTAGGATTTTGGATTGGTAGAGGTAAGTAACGCTTCCAAACTTGGTTCTGAGGGTTCGAAACCCCGAACTATGTGCTATATGATTGTATTGAGGAACGACGCACATGGCAAGTGACGGGCGTGCACCGTGAGGATTGTGGCCTGGTCCATTCCATGGCACCCCTTAGACATTTTTTTCTTGCTGATATCATTGTTTCTATCATGTGACTAAGTAAATGTGCTGCAAATCATGCTAGCTATCCTGTTAGGGCTTCACGCCGATACTGTTGAGACCGGAGTGGTCGTTTCTTGCTGTCATTCCATTAGATTTATAGATATTCTGTACTCAGTCTTATCCATGCATATCATATCATGTCTCGGTCTCCATTGTTATTATTTGGCACTTCATATCATTAATTCGGGCTAGTTTCATGGCATTATGAGCCCTTTTGTGTGAGACTGGAGAGTAATGATTGAGTGAGGCGGAGAGCCTGATTATGAGTGACAGTTATGGGTCTGGCTGCACGCCGCATCAGATTATATATTATGCCTTCATTGGCTTGTTATAGCGCTTGGGACGTAGGATCCCCTCCGGAGTCTGCACACCCACAGTGGGCGCAGATGATATTATTGAGGGATGGATTTCCCTGAACATGAATTTGTCCGAAGTATTTATATATGGAGATGGATTTCTCTACAAGGATGGATATTCCTTTTTCCTCAGTACCGGGTGACTTATATTCAGTGATGCGTATGTTCCGGGATGGATTTCCCTGGGCTGAATGGCCATATGCGGGTACCGAGTGGTTGAGTATGTTTATATATATACCTGGAGATGGATTTCTCCTCAGGGTTGGATTACCCTTGTTTCCTCGGTACTGGATGACTTGCAGTCAGCATTATATATGTTCAGGAATGGATTTCCCTTGGCCGAATGGCCATATGTAGTACCGAGTGGTTAAACACTTGAGAGTAGGAGCACATGGTGCATTTTGTACATTCTGTGCATTGGAATGCAGAGTTAGCCGAGCCTTATGTTTTACATTATTCAAATCTGTATTTATTTCATTGTTGAACTATATTCCTGAAAGAATAGCATGCCTACTTTACTGTGTCACACCTCCTTTTTACGCACCCGCGGGGGCACAAGGGAGTTTTTTCCAATTAAAGGACAATCGAAACGGGATT